GAAAAGTAAATTAAGATCGAAGTGAAAAGATCATCACAACTTCTTTAACATTTTCATGGCTCAACCAATTCAAATCACTATTTCACAAATCTCAAGACAAGGAGAAAGACAGAGAAAATTACTCAGAACTCATGGGGAAGACACAACAAAACTCGAAATTCATATATAAAAGCAAAATCATACAACTTCAACAAGTAAATAACACTTATCTCTAATTTCTCCCCAAGCAAGCTCCTCAAAGTTCCTCTGAATCTCTTCTTTTCTTTATAGCACACAGAATTCCTCTTCGAAGCAGTAAGGAGAAAGAAATCCTCACTTTCCCTCCACTCTTATAATCCCTCGAAAGAATTTCTCACAATTAGACTCTCTACACTTTCCCAACACTTAACTTCCTCTCTCCAGAGCCTCTCTCCAGAGCCTCCCGAGCCTAGCCAGAGCCTCCTAATTTTCGGCCAAAATCTTCTTTTAAAGTTGTAGAAGAGTTTTCTCAAGAGTTGTCTAAGCATCCCTCCAAAATTCGACCTCATCCAATGCATTGTTGGACATAACCGGCGATCTCGCCGTTGGCAGCCTCGAGGGCGTCGTTGGCGGGCTTTCTAAATCATTAATTCTGGAGTATCGGGAATTTCTCGCCGTCGGCCGGGAATTTCTCGCCGTCGGCGCCGTTGGGCTCGCAGTGGGCGCCGTTGGGCTCGCAGTGGGCGCCCTAGTTCAAATTTTCACATTTTGGTCATTTTCGCTCTAAATTCGCTCCTTTTTGCATCTTTTTGCTCCAATGACATTAATTCATCATTCCTGCAATAAAACATCAAAAATACCTTTCTTTAAAGTGTAATATCATCAAAAACAGCGTAAAATAGGTATGAAAATCTCAACATATTTTTCTTTAGTCAAAATCCCCCAAACTTAACTATTACTTGTCCTCAAGTAATTTTAGTACTATATAAAAGTTATGATCTACGACAGTAAAGTTTTAATTCAGAAATACTATAAGTTTGATTTAAATAAATATCATAGTGAGATTTTCAAAAAAAATTCAAGTAATTAAATTAACTCTG